AACTCTATCCAGGCTGTCCCCAAACCTTACCCCCCTACAGGACCACTGTAGAAACAGTGGCCCCCAGAAAATGTGGGAGCAACCTATCCTTCAAAGAGTTTGATGCAGAGTTGGGCTTGACTGCATTCATTCCAGCATGTGGGAGAATGAGTCAGAGAATTGCCCCATGTTTGAGGTCAAGTTGAGCTACATAGCGAGTTTGAAGCCAATGAGACCCTGTTTCAAAAACTAATGCTGGAGAATTAACTCAGCTGTATGGGCTGCTCTTCTAGATTGAGCCGGGTTCCATTCCTAGCACCCAGTTACAGACAGCTGTCTGTAACTCCAGTTCCAGGGGATCCAATGCCTTCATGCAGACAGATGTACAAAACACCAATGCACATAAAGATAGACAGATAGATAGATAGACAGACAGACAGACAGATAGATCCCCTAAGAGTGAGATAGCTCTACCAAAAAAGCATGTCCTGCCAAGCCTGAGGATCTGATTCAGTCCACCACGGCTTACAGGATGGAAAGCAAGAGCCCACAGTCAGAAGTTGTCTATAACTTCCATACACATACTGGAGTGTGCGTGCATAGTCATGCGCACACACACATAAATTTTCTAAAGTGTAATTCAAAACAAGATGTACAAAATTTACACATTATTAGCAAGCAATTCTAAGTACACCCCAGAAGGCTGGACTGTGCCCAGTTGCCACAAGAGGGAGCCACTTCCCCTAAGGCCCTAACTTCTCACTCTGCCCCAGACTGTTCCATTCCCGCCATTTACTTTATTTTGTTTTTATTTTTCCAAAATTATATGTATTTTATGTGTGTGGATGTTTTGCCTGTGTGGTGTGTGTGTGTGTATGTGGTGTGTGTGTTTGTACCATACTGGAGAGGGCCTGTAGAGGTCATAGGAAGGCATCAGATCCTTTGAGATTGGGTGCTGGCAATGAAACACCAATCCTATGGAAAAGCAGCCAGTTCTCTTACTGCTAAGTCATTTCTCCAGCCCCGTTGTTTTTATTTTATTTTATTTGAAACAGTGTCTCACTCTGTAGACCAGGCTGTCTTCAAACTCACAGAGATCCACCCATCTGTCTACCTCCAAGAGCTGGAATTAAAGATGTGGCTGCCACCAAGCTAGCCCATTGCTATGATTCTTGTCATCTTTAAAAACCATGTTCTAGGTGGTGGTTACACATGTATTCAATCCCAGCTCTCTGGAGGCAGAAGCAGGTGGATCTCTAAGTTTGACACCAGCCTGGTCTACAGAGTGAGTTCCAGGACAGCCAGGACTATCACACAGAGAAACCCTGTCTCGAAAAACAAACAACAAAAAATATTATACCTTTCAAAAAGTCAAAAGTAAAAAATTAGGCTTGGACCAGCACAACAGTAAGAAGTCACTTACAGCTAAGCTTGAGGATATGAGTTTGAGTCACAGGACCCACATGTTAGAAGAACACAGACTCCTGTAAGCTGACAACCACACATACATGCATACACATGATAAATAAATGTTTAAACAAATCACCGTGTATGCTGAGGCAGCAGGATTGCTGTGAGTTCCAGGCCAGTTTGAGCAACCCAATGAGACTGTCTTAAAACACACTAATTTGAATTGTAAGTTTTTTGAGACAGGGTCTCACACATGAACCATAGGTCACCCTCAGATTCACTGCATAGCTGGTGGGACTGAGCTGCTCTGCTTCCAGCAGGCATGTGTCTGTGTGCACACATGTGTCTATGTGCATGCATGTGTCTGTGTGCATGCATGTGTCTATGTGCACACATGTGTCTATGTGCACGCATGTGTCTGTGCATGCATGTGTCTGTGTGCACACATGTATCTATGTGCATACATGTGTCTGTGTGCATGCATGTGTCTGTGTGCATGCATGTGTCTGTGTGCATGCATGTGTCTGTGTGCATGCATGTGTCTATGTGCATGCATGTGCATGCTGGTGTGTGTACACTGCATGCATGCACATGTGAGTGTGCCTGTGTACCCCACATCACGCCCAGTTATAGAGACTTGGAGCTGGTACCCAGGGCATTGTGAATGACAGGAAAACAACTGACCTATTGAAGCACAGCAAAACTTGACATAGTATATGAAAGATAAACACATCCTTTTTATTCCGGTTCTGAGCATGGAGTGTGTGGCCTCATGCCACCTGGGTGGGTCTATCCTGATCACTCCCCACCCTTTTTTCTTTGTTTTTGTTTTATTTTTATTTTCCTTTTTTTTTTTTAGGGGGGGTATTTCCTTGGTTCTGTGAGTTTTATATTTTTATTTTTATTTTGGTTTCTTTGTGTTGTTTGGGGTTTTGTTTATTTATGTATATGTGCTTTTGTGTACATGGCAGAGGCCAGTGGAGGGTGTCAGTGTCTTCCCTTTTCATTCTCTGCCTATTTCTTTGAGGCATGGTCTCTCCCTGAACCTGAGGCTCATGATTTCTGTACTAGGCTAAAAGCGAAGTGATTCTTTTTTTAGGCTCCCATGGCTGGGGTCACAGGAAAGCTGACTTCATACACGGGTGCTTGGATTAGAGGCCTCCCAGGATTAGAGGCAAGAGTAACTACACTTACTTTCACAAATTGGCTGTAGGTGTAGGTGTGCCCGGCCTCCTGTGTGTGCTGTGTGAGGCTGTGCCTGGTATCCAGGTCAGGACCAGGCATGCAGTGGTACCTATTACGCAGGAAAGAATGAGCTCTCAAAGAGAGGCTGCTGAGGGGTGAGTTGGAAGGGAAGGCAGGGAGAGAAGGGACTAGGCAGGAAAGGTGTAGAGAGGGTGGACAGGAAGCTGAGCCACAGGGACCTGATCCAGAGAGACAGGCAAACCCAGTCCAGGCTCAGGGTAATTATGAGGACTACGGACTATTCTCACTGGCCCAGTATGCTTGTTTGTGACTTTGAGCCCCATCCATTACATCCCACCCCATGTCCTCCATGTCCACCCCCATTCTCAGCCCTCACCTGCGGCAGGCAGCTTGCAGTCCCACAGAAGCCGCGGCACAGGGGAGGCAGGATCCGCTGTTTATTGCAGGAAGACAAGGTCTACAGCGAACGGTACACAGACCCCACACGGGGCAGGACTCCCACATGCGGGGGCAGGGGTGGGTCACAGCAAGCGAGGCCTGGCAGGGTCCCCAGCACCAGAGATGCCTGGGCAGTTTGGCCAGCAGCCAGGGTGGGCTCCCACCTCCCCTGCCCCCCAACCTGGTTCTCTCCAGGATGGGCAAGGCTGGCCAGGAGAGGCCTGGGGCGGCCCAGAGATTGTGCTATCAGGGTGTGTCCCTGAGAAAGGGCTGTGACCCCCTGTCCAGCCAGGACCTGCTCCCAGGGCTAGGGAGCAGATAGTAGCTGTGGGGGCCCTGGACTGGCTGGAGGTTGGGGCTCAGCTACGCTCAGACTCAAGCTTCAGGCTATGGTTTTTCCTGTGCTCAGGACACACAGGGACCACACTGAGGTCTGGCCCACCTGGTCAGCCTCAGTGCTGGCATCTCTGTCCCTTGTTTTGCAACACTAGCTGACTGATACAGTCTGAGCTACTAGCCAGCTTGCCACAGCCTGGAACAAGAGCCAGTGTTCCATGAACAGGCCAAACAGACAGATTTACAGATAAATTGTCACCCACTTCCGAAAACACAGATCCACACAGACATACCACGATGTCTAGGTGTCCAGCACAGCTACACATAGGCCACTCTACCCAGCCACCAAATGTACTGTGCTCTCATTAAGGACCCAGAATGGTGCAAACACACCCCATCCCGTGACACACACACACCCGTCCACACACACAATGTCACACAAACACAAGATTCTACAGTCACCCTCATGCGGGTGGGACACAAGCCCAGAAGCCACTCAAGTTTCCAGGACAGTCTAACAGATGTCACAGAGGCTCTGTGACTTGGGGCACACACAGGGGTTACATATGGCCAGTGAAAGGGCTCAGGTTCTTCCAGAGCCCTGGGGCCGCAGGTACTGGTCCCATGCCCACACACAGGGTCTTCACTGATGGACTCTCAGCCGGGCACCCTGTCCTCAGCACCCCAAACCCCCACTTGGGGATTACCATTGAGGTACTACTGTGCCAGTCTCTCTGTCTCTGTAGAAGGCCGGTGTCCAGGTGGGCAGCGTCCAGGCAGCTACCCAACACTCCAGGCTCAGGTCCCCATGTGCCTCCCCTGAGGACAGTCCTGGGCTTGTGCTATGGTGTCTGCTGTTCCAGGGTGCTCAGGGCTGGCAGGACATTGCTTCAGGCCCTGTGTTTATTGCCTGGTGGCCTGAGGCCCAGCCCGGGGGCCTGTCCACCCTGGTATGCAGACAGGAGAGGACAGGGATGCTCTGAACCCAGGGAGGGGCTCAGATCAGGGTCATGGGGAAGGGACAGGACCAGGAGAAAGAAGTAAGATGTGAGTGAAGGAGGTCACAGTGATCGAATGTGGGGGCTGGAGCGTAGGCTGGCTGGGAACATCCCAGGAAGGGGATAGAGATGAAGAGGCAAGGCCGCCTTTCTGGTCCTGGCTGGAACAAGAAGTTCCTTAGCCAGGTCCCTGTTTTCAGATCCACAGGGATCAACCTCCAATGTGTAGTTGTGGGGTGCAGATAGAAAGGGGAGTGGTGGACAGAGAGATACAGAGGGAGTGGTCAGCAAGGGATGATAGCCATGAGGTGTGAAGGGGCTGGGGTGGAACGCAACCCTATTGTGGGCTGGCAGGGTGGGTAGAGGGAGGAGATATGGAGGAAGAAGAGGAGGGATGGAAGGAGGGAAGGTAAGAGGAAGAATAGATTAGGAGGAAAGGGAGGGGAAGGAAGGAGAAAGGAAGGAAGAAGGGGAGGAGCAGGAGGAGGAGGGAGGGGACGTGAGGAGGAAGAGAGGTGGGAGAATGGGAGGGAGGGAGGGAAGGAGAGAGGGGAGGGAGGGAAACAGGGATGAGGGAAGAAGGGTGGGAAGGAGGGGAGGGAGGGAGGGAAGGAGGACGGGAGGGGAGGTACATTAAGAGGGGAGAGGAGGGAGGCGAGCAGGAGCTCCGGAGGCCCTGGCCTGCTCTGGTTGGCTCACATGAGCACACACTTGCCCTTGATGCGGTCTGCCCTCTTCTGCTTGCTGGAGCGCTTGCCGTCTACGCTGAGGCTGACGCTGCGGCGCGTCTCGAGCGTCAGCAGCTCCTGGAACAGCTCCTTCACGTTGTAGTTCATCTTGGCCGAGGTCTCCATGAAGGCACACTTCCACTCCTGCGCCACGGCCTGTGCCTCACGGGTGTGCACCTCCCGCTGAGTCTCATCACACTTGTTCCCCACCAGCATGATGGGGATGTCCTCCACGCTGCCCTTGATCTGCACGATCAGCTTGTAGATGGGGCTCAGCTCGTCCAGCGACTGCTTGCTAGTCACGGAAAACACCAGGATGAAGGCATGGCCCTTGGAGATGGACAGACGCTGCATGGCCGGGAACTGGTGGCTGCCTGTCGTGTCCGTGATCTGCAGAGTGCACACGCTCTTGTCACAGCTGATCACCTGCCGGTACGTGTCCTCTATGGTGGGGATGTAGGTGTCACGAAACGTTCCCTTCACAAAGCGGAGCACCAGCGAGCTCTTGCCCACGCCGCCTGCGCCGAACACGACCACACGGTAGTCATTGCTCTGTTCAGGCATTTTCTCGAAGCCGGCTGGGCACACAGGGCCGGCTGCCAGAACCCCAGACCGACCCTGTCGGAGAAGGGGCAGTGAGATGTGTAAGGCCACCTGGGCTAGGAATAGTCCCTGTCCCACCTAAGTGTCTTCCAGGTGGCACTCCCTGCTGCCCCAGCTGACTCTGCAGTTGAGCTAAAAGTAAGGCCCAGAGTTCCCAAGGGGACTCATTGCTGGAGATGGTGCTGATGAGGCCAGGATGCACAGATGCACAGATCAGCACTCAGCCCAGGCTCAGGGCCCCACCTCAGGCCTGGCTTCCACCCAGACCTCTCTCCAAACCAGTGCAAGCACTTCACACTCTGAGCTTACCCTCCTCCTGCCCCATCCGTGTGTGTGTGTGTGTGTGTGTGTGTGTGACAGACACTGTCTCAAAAATAAATCAAGGAGGGGGTTTTGGAGAGATAGTTCATAGGTTAGAGCACCAGCTGCTTCTGCAGAGGTCCCAGGTTCGGTTCCCAGCACCCACATGGTGTTTCACAACCTCCTGTGACTCCAGTTCTGGGGACTTGACTAGCCTCTGTGGGTACTGCACACACCGTACAGTCCTGGGGACCCGATGCCCCCCTTTTGGCCTCTGCGGGTACTGCACACACGGTACAGTCCTGGGGACCCGATGCCCCCCTTTTGGCCTCTGCGGGTACTGCACACACCGTACAGTCCTGGGGACCCAATGCCCCCTTTTGGCCTCTGCGGGTACTGCACACACGGTACAGTCCTGGGGACCCAATGCCCCCCTTTTGGCTTCTGCGGGTACTGCACACACAATACAGTCCAGGGGACCCAATGCCCTCGTCTGGCCTCTGCGGGTACTGCACACACGGTACAGTCCTGAGGACCTGATGCCCTCTTCTGGCCTCTGTGGGTACTGCACAGATGTGGTGCACAGACACATACACAGAAGGAAAAAATAAAGTAAAAAGAATCCCATTGTGAGCCATGGTGGTGGCATACGTCTTTAATTCCAGCACTCCAGCGGCAGAGGCAGGTAGATCTCTGTGAGTTCGAGTCCAGCCTGATCTACAGAGCAGGTTCCAGGACAGGCTCCAAAGCTACACAGAGTAACCCTGTCTCAAACAACAACAGCAAAATTCCATTGTGAAAATCATGTGTGGTAATACATGCCTGTAATGCCAGAGTTGGAGAGGCTGAGGCAGGGGGATAGCAAATTCTGGGTCATTGTGGGCTACAGACTGAGACTCTGTCCAAACAAAAACAAAAAACTAAGGTTATTGCAGTGGTGTGCACCTTTAGACCTTGGTATCCAGAGGCAGAGACAGATCTGTGAGTTCAAGGCTAGCCTAGGCTACATGTCAAGTTCCAAAACAGCCAAGTCTACACAGAGACATTCAGTCTTAAAAAAAAAAAAACAAAAACAAAACAAAACAAAAAAAACAAAAGAAACACGAAAGTAAGCAAACAAACATCAGATCCAAAATACTACCATCACCACCAAACAACCAAATAAACCTAAAAGCACATTGAGGGCCTCAGTTCTAGACATTGAAGATTGGCTTTGGGCTCTGGGGACTGGCCACATAAAACAGCTCCTCTAACTCTGGGGACATTCAGGAATCAGATGCATAAATCCTGACACTGAGTCCCTGGAAGCAGCTCCTGGGACACAGGGACTCACAGCCCAGGCTGAGTGGAGAAAGTCTCAAAGCTAAATGGAGCTTCCTGTTGCCTAGGCCCTGGCTCCTGCTCAGGCTGCTGTTTGCACCCTGGGAATTCCTTGGAGTTTCTTTCCTGTCTTTGCTCAGAGATGCACATGGGCTTCAGAGGTCACAGCATGGAGACTCCCCAAGTACTGGAGGTGAGGGAAGAGATATGTAGAGGGGAGAGTGTGGAAGGCCTGTTTACGTGATCGCTGTCCTTCATCAAGAGTCCTTCCTTTTCTCCCTCAAGTTATCTTCCTCAGTATGTATGTGCATGTGGGGAAGGGTCTGGGACAGCTCCAGACTAGACCCAGGGAGAGCGACATCAAAAAAGTAACAGTGTCCTTGTGATTCGGTCTTCTCTTCTGTGAGATGGGAACCTACCCAGGCATAGCCCATGGGGACAGGGGACCAGGAATATGGTTAGGGGTCAGAATAAAAGGAAAATAAATCTGGACCTGACCCTGGTGGCACACCCTGAAAACTTCTCAGAGCTTGAGATGAACCGGAAGCGTACCCAGATTCTACACAGGGTCCTTCTTGGCCTGGGGAGGAACTGGGTGGGGCGCTGGCATGGGGCTGCCCCCACTCCAACTAACCACATTTCTCTTGGTGGCTAACTGGAGCAGTGGACACCCTGTGACACCAACCCCCTGGCTCGAGGGGCTCTAAGGTGGGAAATGGAGATGGGGTATGCACCCCTCATTGCAGTCCTTCCTGGTGGTGGGCACGGAATGTTTCAGGCCTGGTAGGGACAGTCACCAGAGGGGCGCTGGTGTCTGGGTTCCCCCACTAGGAAGATCCTATACAATCCAGGTCTCCCTCCTTTGGGAGGGGGCCGTGAACTTTTAGCGGGGAGAACTTTACTCAAGGTCATGCAATATAGGAGGTGGCATGTCTCAGAGGGACTTCAAGCTGGGCCTTGCTCCGCTGCTGTGCCCTGGGAGCTCTGAGGTGTTCAGCCTCCCTGTCTGAGTCACCCCAACCCTGGGCCAGCCTGACCAAAACCCCCAGTCCACAGGTCAGCACAGAGCTGGGCCCTGGGACCCTAAAGCCACAGCAGGTGTAAGAAACCTTGGTCAGGGGAGGGTCTTGGGGGTGGGAATGCTGACTAATGGGGGTGGCTGACCTAGGGGCTGCAGACTGGGAGTGATGGAAAACAGGCAGTTTTAGGGATGGGGGGAGCTAACTGGGAGTCAGGAGGTGGCTAAGCAGAGAGGAGTCCTCAGAGGGGCTTGGCCATGAGGGTGCAGGGCTCTTTGGGTGGCGAGGAGGGCCCCAGGCCTGAGCGGGTAGTTTGCAGAGGGCACCGATGAGGGGACAAGGCCTGAAGGGGTCCAGGGTGATTGCTCTGCGTGGCCAGGCAGGGGTGGGGCGACCAGGAGCTGTCCATGGTAGCCCCTGGATGCCCGGGAATGGGAGATAGCCCAAGAAGGTGGGTTGGAACAAAGGGATCATGGTGGCCTGAGGACCCCTCCCCACCCTTGGTGGCCGCGGCCGCCCCACTGCCTACCTGGGCCGCTGTGGTCCCCGCCGCTGCGCTGCTATCCGCGCCGCCGCAGTCTTGATGTCCCCGCCCCAGCCGCGCTCCTCCCTGCCCGCCCCGCCCGCCAGGACCCGGGCCCGGGCCGATGCAACCCAAGGTCACCGCCAAGCCCTCCCTGGGTGTCTGTCAGCCACTGGGAGCATGCCAAACGCTGGGCATCCGGACATCCACACCCACCCGCACCACGTGGCCACCTGCATCCCAGGGGACGCGGATGGGTGACAGAGCCACCTGGAGTCATGGTGGACATAGATGATGGTCCCTGTCACCCTGAACTGCAAAAAGAGATAACTGGGGATGGGAGAGTTGCATGGTTCAAGTCAGATCAGCGAGGGGCAGAGGAGAGTGATGAAGAGGTTGTGAGCTGAGTGCAAAGATCTCCATCGAAAACGGTGTCAGCCAGACTGCGGAGACTAAGGCAGGGGGATGGCTGTGAGTTTAAAGGCTTTCTGGGCTACAGAGTAGATACCCCTGTGGGGGAAGGAAGGAAAGAGAAGGGGGGGGGACAAAATAGTACAGAGAACCCTGTCATTGGGCTTGTAACTCATAGTGTGGAGTGAAACCTTGCTAGCTTGTTTGGCAATCCTAGCACTTCAGAGGCCAGCGTGGTGGCAGAGCAGGAGGACCAGGAGTCCAAAGTCAGCCTCAGATGCATATTTTCTGGAAAATGTGGGACCCTGCTTCCAGCAAAGAGAAGAACAGAGAAAAAGAGAAAGGCCTCATTGTTCTTCTGGTATGTGGTTCAGGGCAGAGTGCTTGCACAGCTTTCAGAGATCTTGGCTCAACCCACGTGCTGGGAAGGCCAATGAGAGGGCTCAGCCAGTAAAGGTGCTTGCTGCAAGCCTGACAATCTGAGTTGGATCTCTGGGATCCACTTGGTGGAAGGAGAAGGCCAACTCCCAAAATTGTCCTCTGACCTACACACACCAAGAAATCGATGAATAAAATGTAATTTAAAGTTTATTTTTAAAAGCTGGGTGGTGGCGGCAGACATCTTTAATCCCAGCACTTGGGAGGCAGAGGCAGGAGGATCTCTTTGAGTTCGAGGCCAGCCTGGTCTACAAAGCTATACAGAGAAACCCTGTCTCGAAGAAACAACAACAAAAAGATTATTTTAAAACCTGGAGGTGCATGCCTTTAATCCCAGCACTCAGGAGGCAGAGGCAGGTGGATTTTTGTGAGTCCCAGGCCAGCCTGGGCTACAGAGTGACCCTGTCTTGAAAAACAAAAAATAAAAGTTTTGTATAAATTTCTGTCTCTATTTCCTAGAATCTGACCTGCTCCAACCCATGACCTTGATGTGTTGAGGGAACACCCAATCTCCCCAACCACAAAACATTTTTTAAAAACTTCCTTACTACCCCATTGTCTTCTGTAAACGTGCTATAAAACTACTCATGATTTTATTCCTTCAAAAGCATTAAGAGGGGCTGGAGAGATGGCTCAGAGGGTGAGAACACTGACTGCTCTTCCAGAGGACCTGAGTTCAATTCCCAGCACCCACATGGCAGTTCATAACCATCTGTACCTGCAGTTCCAGGGGATCTGACACCCTCACACATACATGCATGCAGGAAAAACACCAATGCACATAAAATAAATTTTAAAAAATCTCCAAAAAAAAGGGGGGGACGCTTAAGAAATAGACTTGGGCTGCTCTCTCTAACCTGACTTGGGAGGCAGCCACTGGACAGCTCTCTGGTGTACCCCCAATAAGAAATTAAGCTTGCAGCTGCGCAGTGGTGGTGCATGCCTTTAATCCCAGCACTCGGGAGGCAGAGGTGAGTTTGAGGCCAGCCTGGGCTGCAGAGTGAGTTCCAGGACAGCCTCCAAAGCCGCAGAGAAACCCTGTCTCAAAAAAAAAAAAAATTAAGCTTACTTTTAAAAACAACAGAAATGGTTTTGTTTGTTTGTGACAGGGTCTTGCTCTGTAGACCAGGCTGGCTGGGATCTCACAGAGATCTTCCTGCCTCTGCCTCCTGTCACTGGGATTAAAGGTGTGTGCCACAGTGTCACTTAGCTCCCTACTACTCACCTGTCCCTCTCCCTTCCGGCCTGGGCTCACCCCGGCCCCCCCCCCCGCTTCCCCCCCCCCCCGGCTCACTCCCTCCCTCTCAATTCTACCATGACTCCTTCCTGAGTCACAGGCCAGTAGCCTAGCTTGGTGTTCAAGGATCTCCATGGCCCAGTTCTCCTTTTCCTATTAAGCCGCAACCATCCTGGACTGCCTGGAGCTGAAGAATTCCCCTCCTTCCTGGCCCTGAGGGTGTCTCTCAGACAGCATCTCAGTTCCCCCTACCCTGACTCCAGAGAGGGAGACAGCCTAGTAGAGTAAGAATTCTGTTCTGGATGACCCCTCCCCACAACAGCACCCCCAGTCAGTTTTGCCGTCACCCCTCAGAGTAACTGGAAACAAACCCATGGAGTGGCCCTTTCTCAGGTGCTAAGTATGGGGGGCAGCGTGGGGCTAGCAGCCAAGGTTCCTCTGTCTATGACAACTGGGTTCCCTGAGATACTGTCCAGTGGGCTCTAAGCCCAGCTCTGGCCAGCTCACTCGCTCCATCAGGCACCAGCCCAGGCTGACTCATACGGAGATGCCTGTCCACATACTGATGCTATTTATAGATGCCAGGCTCTGGGCATCAGCAGCCACTGGAGACAGCTTCAGTTCCTGTCTCCCTTTCGCAGTAGCGCCTCTGCGTGGCTGGCTGGGGTGTGGGAGGCACTGCATTCTGCTCCACCTTGCTAAACTGTGCAGGGCAGATACGTGGGCACCAGACCTCAGAAGCCCACACTGCATTCTGGAGTTCTAGTCTGCCTGCCTCTACACACCCACCTCCTCTTTGGAAAGCCCTGCTCTGCCCCAGCAGAAGAAGAGAGTGCAGAAGGGGCCTGGGGAAATGGCTCAGCCCATGAAGTCAGTGTTTACAAACACAGGACCTGAGCATGGATTCTCAGAACCCAAACCAAAGCTGGCAGGGCAGCTTGATCCTGCCAGGGCAACACCAGGTAGGTTAAAGTGGTGTGCTGACTGGGTGGTCTAGATAAATCTGCCACTGCCATTGCCACTTTGTTCTCCATCCTACTGACACTGTCTCAAAATCAAGGTAAAGAAGGAGGGTTTCTCAGTGGTTAGAGCACCAGCTGCTCTCACAGAGGACCTGGGTTCAGTTCTCAGTGCCCGCATGGCAGCTCACAGCCATCTATGACTCCAGCTCCAGGAACACCCAGGCACTGAACACACACACAAACCAATCACACAAAGAAATCCCCAAATACATGGGCTAGCTTGTTGGACCCCAATATTTTGTTGTTGTTTGTTTGAGACATTTCACCATGCAGTTCTGACCAGCCTGAACTCTATGGAGACCAGAGATGATGCTGTCTCCTGGTTTCCTTGGGAACTAGGAACACACGTGGTACACAGCATGCATAGATGTAAAACATCCATCCACAAAAATAAAACAAATAAAAATAATTTAAATCTGTTTATTTATTTTGAGATATTGCTTATTTTGTAACCCAGGCTGGCCTGGAACTCACAGATATCCACCAGCCTCTTCCTCTGCAGTGCTGGGATTAAAGTCATTGATATCATATCCAGTTTAAAAACTACTTTATTACACTGGGTGGTGGTGGTGCACACCTTTAATCCCACCACTTGGGAGGCAGAGGCAGGCAGATCTCTGTGACTTGGAGGCCAACCTGGTCTACAGAATGAGTTCCAGAACAGCCAGGGCTAAACAGAGAAATCTTGTCTCAAAACCAACAAAAACTCCAAACCAAAAAATCCCCATTTCATTATTGGGGGTGTGTGGGGGGGTGAGCACACACCAGTGCCCACACGTGTGTCATCAGGACAATTTGCAGTTTTGTCACCACATGGGTCCTATGATAAAACTCAAGTCTTGCAGGCTTGGTGGCAAGCCTTTGCCTACTGAACCTCACCAGCCTCTCCCCTGACTTTTCATTCTTCTGTGGGGACATTGCCTGATGATACTGAGCTGCTCACGTCATTTCTCTCAGCTGAGTGACAGCTTCCTTACTTCATGATGGGGGGGCATCAACAACTCACAGGTGTTACCTCTGCCCTGGAGGATGCAGTATAACATCTGGGACACATGTAATTGTTCCAAACCTGGCTCAGAGCAGGTGGAGTCCAGACACATCCCCAGAGAAAGCCCCAGCCCCATGGGGAGGGGACCCCAGGCTGAGGGGTTCCCTCGGGTGATGAGATGTAGGGCAAAGACCATCCTGTCCCCCACCCCCCACAGAAGCCTCAGAGGCAGGGTGCCAGGAGCTGGCTGTGCCCTATCCCGCCCGCCCGTACTAATAACTTCTGTTACAGGAACACAAACAAGCTCTGAGAGAAGCTGACATGCTGTTATTACAGATCAGTGGTAAAGCTGGGCCACCCACCCCGCCCTCTCTCCTCCCATCCTGCTGTGTCCCAGCTGTGTCCCCACAGGAGGCAGTGTGTGGGGGTTGACTGGGCCACTCCATGCCCATTCATGACAGTGGCACATGCACTTAGCTTGGCCTGGGGACTGGGGGCTGAGAGCTGGGAGCAGGGGCTGTCACCTAAACTGGAACTCTCAAGTGAGAGACACACAGGGCATGTCCTGGCTTCTGCACACATCACAATTCTCAGACAAGGCCCCTCGTGGCTACCATGGCCACTTCTCCAATCATATCTGAATGGTCAGTGAGGTGTCCTGGAGAAGACTTGGTATCACTGTCCTGTGCTGCCAGGCAGGATACCCATTCTGTTTCTTTGTGCCCCAGTCTGGGATGTGACTGCTTTCTTGTCACAGAAGCCACTGACATCAGCTTCTGATCGAGACCTGCCTTGGTCGTAGACCAGAGCAAGGGAAGCCTGGAGGCCTTGCTGGCACGGCCAGATGGAGTCCTAGGGCTTCTACATACCTGGCCAGGCCCAAATTAAGTTTCAAGGACTGATTGGGTAGTGAGCAAAAGAGAGCCAGGAAGGCTTGAGGCATGTTGGCAGGTGTCTCCTGGGTCCAGTGTCCCTAAATCACTGTGCAGAGACCCCCCCTCCCCAGGAAGGTGCTACCTGAACCTGAAGATCTGTGGGGAGGGGAAGACCCCACCATTGCTAATGAGTTGGTGCTTGGGATGACTCT